AAACACTCCAGTAGCAGGATCCCATACAAATTCCTTTATATACCAAGAAAGCCACTCGACAACAACAAAATCAAACTTTTCGGAAATTTTTAACCATCCTACAATGTTACAACATGAGTACATTGTCATAACTATTTGAAAAATGTGATGACAATCAGTTCAGTTCGCTTAGAAAATGAATGAATGAATGAATGGAGTGAATACAAAATGTATGAATGAATGAAATGTTGAATTCCGATAACGTCACTGTTGTCTTCTTCAATGAAGAGTAGCGTGTATGAATGATATCATTGCATGTGTCAAGAGAAATGTAAATTTCTACAGTAAACGGTGCGAAAAAGAAACGGGGAAATCCCACTCAATTGCAATTATTTTTATTTTATGTGCTCAACATATTTTAAATGAACTTCCAATTTCTCGTTTTGTAAAAATGACGTGTGATGTTTTTCAGTGATCTAAAGTGACTAGGTTGCGAAATTCACACTGATCCTGACACTGATAATGAACTGGGTTCGAAACTCGGAATTAGAAATGCTTGAGAGCAAATTAAAGCCTATGGTACGCCAACGAGTCCTTATTTTCGATATTGATTTTTTTTTGGGACCTTATTTTCGAGCATGAGTTCAAATTTTTTTTTCACGTTAAATTATTAATGTCTAATCTCTTTAATTAATGGTTTACATATTTGTTTTTCATCATCAAAATGCTAAAAGAATCCACTCAACTGTAATGAATCATTACTGATTTGCTAAACAATTAATGCAAGTGAATTAATGACATTTTAAATGTTTCCTGCATTTATCATCGATTAAACGATTAAATGAGTGTTGATTAACATAGTAGAAGGATTCGATTCCTAAATAATAAGTGAATTAAGTCAAAAATTGCGAAAAGTTAAAATTTTTATAAAAAATATGATTTTCGAAATTGCGAAATTTTGTTCGAAAAACATTTGAAACAAGTTTAAACTTATTTTGCTCCAACGTTGACATCGTCTCTTGGCATATCATAGATTAAAGCAAGATTTAAGTACCATATCACCTGAAAATGAAGCTGCTGGATGCATAATTCATCTATGTAGGACCCTAAATCGATTTAAACTTGATCTTTAAACTGAAATCCACCAAAATCTATTGCAGTGTCTTGACACTTAGATCTTCTTTCAATGATCTAAAGCCCTTTTGATTATCTCGTCCTAAAAGCTAGCTTGCTTGTATAATTTGGACGTCTGGTAGCTACATTACTTCTTGAGACAATTTTTGCAACCTTCAGCAATTTGAGTTCAGCACAAGGTTCTCTCCATGATCAGCTTATTCACACAAAGTTTTACTTAAAAGATCCATAAAGCGTTGAATTTGAGTGTAAAGTTAAGTTACCAACCCTGTAAAATTTCATCATTTCGTACGCATTTCACGCTATAAAAAAATTATTCCAGTCCCAGGGGGAAATTTACTCAGCCTAAAATTTTTTTTGAGTAAAAAATTATTAAAACAAAAGCGTAAAAAAAGAGTAAAAAGTGTAAAAAAAGAGTAAAATGTGTAAAAAAAAAAGTAAAATGTGTAAAAAAAGAGTAAAAAGTGTAAAAAAAATAGTAAAAAGCGTAAAAAAAGTGTAAAAAAAGAGTAAAAAGTGCACTTTTTACTCTTTTTTTACACTTTTTACTCTTTTTTTACACTTTTTTACGCTTTTTACTCTTTTTTTACACTTTTTTTTACACATTTTACTCTTTTTTTACACTTTTTACTCTTTTTTTACGCTTTTGTTTTAATTATTTTTTACTCAAAAAAAATTTTAGGCTGAGTAAATTTCCCCCTGTCCAGTCCGCAAAAAAAAAATACTGAATAAATCTACACCAAAACATTATTAAGCCCTCAAAACTAAAGTATGTACATACACAGATTTTCAATTCAAGTGCAACGTGATGTTGTGAATGAGACAAGCACTGGAAATTGTGTAAAAAGGCCCAGTAGCAAAAATATGTTTTAATTTCCTGATAACATCATGTTTCGGATTTACGGACATACATAATTCTCTTTCCATTCTCAATTCTGTGCAGTATCCAATAGATTATTTCATTAATGCTTCGTGAAATTTAATTGATAGCATTGAATGGCCATCCTGTTATGGGTCAGGCAATGTATTTTGTCTTGCCTGAGAGCAGAAACAGACAGAAAAAAATGCTCGAGGTGGACACACATACACACATCACTGTCGATTGTCGACACTAAACAATTTTCAATTAATTTTCTGGTGACATTTACCAATTGATTTCTCCAATTTTTTTTGTCCCTTCTTATCGATTGTGTGGCAATTGTAATTGTCTCCCACATGCTTCTTCCTCAATTCTTCCCCCTTTTTTTTCGGTGATGGTTGAATGCTTACAAGCAAGTAGATAGCATTAAACTATCCAATTAAAAATTGAACAACAATTTTTCTTGCCTCTCAATATGTATGTACATCTATTGCTGTGCTTCAATGCATCCTTAAAAGAAATGAACAGAAACTCAACACAATGGATGTGGAATGAAAGTCGAATAATGTTCTATACTGTTGTGTCCATACAAAATATTTGGTTGGTAAATTATTTAACAGGATTCAGGTTATCAACATTTATAGAACGTTTACTGAATTCTTTTTCAAGTCAGTTCTGTTTAATCAAGGGATGGAAGAAGAATGATATTGTTCTGAACAATGCAGTTAAAATGTATTAAATTATTTGGCATCAACCCCTTGCAAAATATCCTTTCATATTAGTTTTTGCTTCTTCCTCTTGCTTTCTAAACGAAAAAAAAAAAGTTTCTTACTAGAATAGTTTTGCAGTCCCGAGAAGTGGATTAATGTGAGTCTGTGAGAATTGTATCTTTTATTAGAGATTTAAGAACTGAAGTGGCTTGGTGAAGCAATGGAATTTGTTAAGACTTAATATTAAAACTGTAGGGCTGGGAATTAATGCCAGAACAGCTTGTTAGTAATGGAACACATGAATCAAAAATCGCGGCTTTGAGTTTAACAGCCTGATGACCAAATGGTTACAATTCCTTAATGGAAATTGAAATTATTGATTTGAAGGTATGAATCCAAACTATTTACAGACCACTAGCTTAAAATCAAGGCGTACATAATTAGGAAACTCCCGGAAGTTTCCCAAGGTAAGAAAAGACTTAAATTCCTTTACAAACTCCAAACAAGGAAATTAAACCAATACTTAGCATGGAGTTATCAATAATTAAACTTCAGTCGAATTATTATATCATGCTCTGTTCATTAAACTGCTAAAAACTTCCGGAAGTCTTATACATTTTTGGGAAGTGTGTCAACTCGAGTCGACTTTGAGCTCTGGTTTCTAGTTTTAATCAACCTTCAAACTAGCCATTATGAACACAATCTAGCTGTAAGTTGGTGTAAAAAAACATTTATTTTCTTATTATTGCAAGCTATAATGAAAACATAATCATGCAATAAGTTATAGGTATCCTTTAAAATAAAATTTATTATTTCGATCATTTTCATCAAGAATCAAATATATTAAAAATATACAAAAGCAAGAAACGAGTGAAAACCTCAGAAAATTCAAGATACAAAAGTAAAGTATCGTTCGGGTATTTCTATTTTCCCTTTCCCAACTCTCTATTCTCACTACACTTCATTCCTTTAGTTTTGCTATCGTGCTACAAGCTATTAGAAACTTGCAAGAAGAAGAAAAAGAAAATTTCTTCACAAAGATAAAATAAAGGAAAGAGTTGCTTTCTGTACTTTTAAGCTTCATTGGTTGAGAAAAAACATAAATTAAATTACATTCGACTTTCAAGATAATCGATTGAGTTGGTTGCTCTTGTTTTTATAGCAGATTTCAGGGATTTTTTTTTAAAATTATGGTAAAGTAGTTAGGAAGAAGGAACGAAGCAAGTAAAGAGAAAGGAATCAAAAGTGATAATTCACGAACATTTCAGTATCAGAGTGTTTTAATTTAATTAAAGTGCTTCACACAAAATACTTTATAAATTATATCCAGTCGTTTATTTTCCTCTTCTTTGTACTCTTACTCTTCCTATATGCTATTTAGTTTATACATGCACATCTCTTACCCACTTTTTTTCTTCATTCTGTATAAATGCTTAATTGAGTGAAAAACTTTTTCTTTTGTTTCCTGATAATGTTACATGATTGCCACATACTATTTCTAATTATTTAATCACCTTGTTGTATTTACTTACTGAGTTAATTTGATGGAAGGATATAGATATGTTGTGGATAAATTTTCATAACTTTCTTTTAAAATGAATTCTAATGGGTTTTTAATGATTTTTCATTATCACTTGTCTAGTCGATTGTTCAATCTTATTTGGTATTAAAAAAGGCAATAATGAACGCAGTTTTTAATTGTTGGATATGATGAACACCAGGGGCGTAGCCAGAAAATTTTTAGGGGGGGGGGGCAACCGTTATTTTGTATCCTTAAATCTATATTCATTCTTCATAAGTTTAAATATTCAATTCATTATTCATACATTAAATTTAATTTTTCGTGCTGATTTTGACATTTCTTTCATCACTTCCTCTACATTAACTGGTTCTTCTCTATAAATACTTAATAAAACAATTATCAGATTTTCGTAGGGGGGGGGGGCCTATGGCCCCCCCTGGCTACGCCCCTGATGAACACAATGTTGATTGTTCGACGATCAGATACAGATTAAAAATTTGTATGAAGGGGCAAACAACTATGAAAGGGGAAAACAACTAATTCTAGTTGCAAATACAATTTGAATACTCAACGACAGTTGATATATTCTCAACATTAATCTTAGATAATTCAAAATAAAATTTTTAACATGTGTCATTTAATCAAGATCCAGAAATTTAAGTAAACAAGTACCGTCTTCTAGTATTACCCCTTTCTTATATGTTAAAAATCAGTGTTTTATTCTAAATTCACGTCAACAACTGTGTTATTGACTCATGAACAGCACTTCAAACAATTCTAGATACATCAATAAGTTTTAGTTTTTTTTCATCGACTCCTCAAACTGTATAATAATTATCAAGTACATGACACAAGCTGTGATAAATTTAAATATCAATCGCCAGTTAAACTCAAAGAATATGCATGAAAATGCAGCATTTGTGTGTCGAATTTGCATAATAAATTGAAAAATTTTCTCAGAATTTTCTGATTCTTCAAGCATTTTCTGGTAGAGTGACTGAATTGCTTGATGTTTTGCATTTGACATCTTTTCAGCTACTCTTGTTATCACGAAAAGTGTTATGACAGTGAGCGCAAGGCTGATACAGAACTCGGTAATCAGTTCAATTTTAGATTTTGGAACTAAGACAATTAGTGATAATGATATGCAGCTCCAGATGAATAAATTACCAAACGTTATCATCAATGGAGGTCCATAAATTGAGTTAAATATTTTCACACATTCTGAGATTTTTAGATGGATTTTTGGCAGTTCTTGGGCTGAATTTTTGATGCAGTTACTCAACATTTCAAATCTAGTTCCAATATTGTGCATGATAATGATGAAGTGCAATGTTAAAGCTGTTGCGTTGATGAAGACTATAAGGTTATAAATTAAAGTCAAAATACTTAAATTCATTCCTTGCCATAGATGATGGGAAGTGCTGAACACTAGAATACTAAAAACGATGCAGAACAGCAAGCTAAAGACGATATTAAGCTTCCTTTGACGTCCTTTGTAGTCCATTTTCAATCCTGATTTCTCAAGTTGTTCATCAATTTCACTCAAGTTGACTAGAATTTTCAAGAACTTTTCTCGCTTCATAAAGATCCAGAAGATTGAAGTCACGCACATTATGTGATCTAAATAAACTAATACAACTGAGCTGAGTTTCGAAGTTTTTGTAAAAAACATTTCATCCATTAGTTCTGAATATGGATAGTAGCAGGTTCCAATAATTTCTATTAATATTGTGATTCCAATTATCAATCTGTTCCATTTTGTTGTTATTACTGTTGCAGTTCTTGTGTCAATTTTAAAGACCAAAATTCCAGTGAGATTGGAGATGTAAAGCAACGGCTTGATTGATGATATTACTTCAGATAACATATTTTTTTTAAACTTATTTAATCTTTAGGGTTGAACTTACAGAATCGACAGTCTGAATTAAAATGACAAAGTTATTCTCCAATTTTCCGTACAATCCTTTATTTGCGAGGAAGGTGTCAAGTTTGTAAATATTGATTAGGAAATGAATCAACAAATTGATTAAGTGTTGGAGATTCTCGATATTATCAAGCATACTGTTAAGAGAAGATTATTAGTTTACGTTGACATTCGGACGGGCTTACAAGTACATTATTATCACTACTTGCTATACTTTGTATTTTACATAGCATCTTGTTATTGATGCAATGTTCCCAAATATCTTGTAGCCGTGCCTATGACAAGGCAACGTCACACTAGAGAGGATAGGGGAAACAGAAAGGGGCAGTTTATTATCATCATTCAAGAAATATACATCGAATTTATTTTGTGAATCTATAATTCAACATTAATGGCAATAAATAAATTGTAATAGTACATATTTAGTTCATATAAAGTATATATATATATATACATTTATTGTTTATTTAGATTAAAGGCATAGCCAAAGGTGCTGAAATTGGCACTAAAATTGAAGAATAAATGAAGACCACATGAGTTTTCAGACACATGATTTTTTTTCATATACATTTCACATATTTAGAACTAGACATTGGAAGAATTTCGTGTGAAAACCCTAGATTAGTGCAGTCATTGTCGGTTTATAGAGTTTTTGATTCGTCTGTGAATAGCTTTCGACCTATTGTGATTCCATTAGTTCAAATTTTCGACCCATATAAAGAGCTAGACTTTCATTCAGAACAACCAAGAGTTATAAATCCAGTTCCAATTACACCATTTTCCTTTATTGAACCCCCAACACCGCTACAATCTTTGAAAACTTTCAAGACAAGCAACTTCTAATGTTCATTAATGTAGGGGTCTGAAGCTGCGTTAAGATCGAGGGGTGAAACTACATGGAGCAGATAACTAATGGTCACTTTTTGAATGGATATTTAAGTCTATAAAAGTCCAATAAAACTATTGACTCTACATTTTGCTGCTGCGACTAGCAGAACTGTTGTGGGAATCGAAGCAAATTCGAGGAGATCGGAAAAAAAAGACCGTTATTTATCCGACAATGTAGCTTTACCCCCTCGATTTTAACGCAGCTTCAGACCCCTACAATTACAAGCTCCAAACTTAATTATCCATAAAAATTCACAATCAATTTAATTCCTTTTTTAAAAACCCCCCTTTATTTATATTAATGAGTTAAGTTGATCCATTAAGATTTCAATTATTACATTTAAAGCTATTAATTAAATGAAAAGTAGAGTAGAACATCACAACATCATCATCAAGACAATTGGAAGTAGAGTGAATGCTCCATAAATAATATAAAATTGAGTGGAGGGGATGTAAGGAACAAATAAGTGAGTAAATAAATAAATTAATTTAATGATATGAAGAATAATTCCATCCATTCAGTTCCTAGATCTCATTTGTCTTCCTATATTATATGATTTATAGACTGCGTAATTATTATATCACTGTTACGCGTCGCGGGTGCTTTATAATCAACATTATTCACCTGGAAATCACAATTTAATTGAAAAACATTATTTCGTTGTAATTTATTTTTTTACAGACGTACCCTCAATAAAGCATCATTTTGTGTACAGCATGTTCAAAAATTCATCAAAAATGTTTTCGTTCTGTAAAATGAAAAACCGCAGAAAATACTTAAAATTTAACAGAGCGCACATGGTTGAAAAATTATGAAAAGCAATTTAAAGGGAAATTAATTGCACAGTGTTCCTGCATGCTGAAAAAAACATACATTTTGTGCCATCGACATGTAGTGAGAATAACATGATACTATGATCTAGCGTTTAAGCATCATCATTTTCAAAAGATGTTTATAGCATCAAGTTTCAATTTTCTCATTCCATGTTTTTTTTTGAAAAGTTTGTTGCTTCTCCTTTTTTCAATTTAACATTCGACTTTATTTCAAATATGGCATAAATTTCCTATCGACATCAAGTTTCTTTTAAAGAATGGAAGATTGAAGAAGGTAAATTTTTAAATACCGAGAAGCATTGAATAAGAGATGGAGTTGCTAGGTAGTGATGTGGTTTCTGTTTTCGTTCCTTAAAAATGGCAATGCTGACATAGCATTCATGTGTTTGGAACTTAAAGGAAGACATGGACTGGAAATGAAGCTAGCATTTGGATAGAAGCCTTGGAAAACATCACTTGTTTAGACACTTGCTTTATATCTTAAGATTTATTTTTGGAAGAGGAGCAGGTGCGTTGCCAGGAAGCCGTGCTCTTGCTGCGGTTCAAAACGTTTAAGAGGGGACAAGACCCTCCTGGCTACGCGCCTGAAGAGGAGCCAATAAAGATACTGGGAGTAGGTGACAATTATTTAATTAATCAGTCAGAGGACTACTAAGCGACGAGTCTTGTTTTTTCCCCATGACATAACAGCCACAATGATGTCAGGCTCTAATCCGTCTCTGTAACGTTTTGACATTAGAATCGCGACATAGTCGTGCTTTGACAATTATGATGTGCTGCTTAGATAAACAATTTGCCGTTAAGTCTAGGAACTGCTTTAGAGCAAAGGAAAACGTTCAAAATATAAACTATGTCCTGGCAAGTTACTTATACGATAAACAACTAAGTTCATATTAACTCCTTCAAATAAAGGTTTTTGGACCTCTATGTCCTTTGTCTCATGATTTTATATCCATCTTCCAAAATTCTGGTCGACAATCGAACCTTCTGTTCTCCAGATTATTTTTGCTTCCCGGGACTTTTTACTTACTATCTTATTTATGGTCACAAGAGGTAATTTTTTAAAAATAAAAAAAATACACCACAAATATAGATCTATGTACATCCACATCCTATTTCATCATTCGAACTGTAAAATAAGAATTATTCGATTTTTATTTTCATCCCCGAAATTCGCACCTGTCGAGCAACAGCAGAAGAGCACTTTTCTATTTCTTCAATCCAATAAAAATTCCCAATTCACTGTTCCGGGAGAGGTGAACAGAAGTAGCAAGCAAGCAGCAAGCAGCAGTAAAAAGACGAAGAGGTGTTTCTGAAGTTTTTTTTTCTGTAGTTTCTTCACGTTTTCCATTAAATTATTATTTATCTTTATGTGCCCATTTTCTTCTCTCCTCTTTCCTTTTTTGTGTGCTGTACGACTATAAACTGCTGGTATGAATCCTACACACATATATATGTACATATGATATGTTATCGAAAATTTATTTAATAAATAAAATGTATTTTATCGTTATTCGATTGCACACAAAATACCGTAAGTTCATAAGTATGAGATCGAAGTGATATACGAAATCCATTATCCAAAATGAACATTTTGCAAATGCTTTAGATATATATATGAATGTAGCAATGGCATGTAAGTTGATATTGTAAATATATAAATATATCTCAGGGAAAGCATTTACTTCTGCTTTTGTGTGCTCTTGCATGCATATCACAAACTTTCTGTTAATAATTTACAAATCATTTTGTTTTGACTCGAGAAAATAGTTTTTGAAATTATACAATTTAGCAAATTGTGGTGACACGTCTAGTCCTTCAAAACTTCGTTTGAATTTTATCAATGGACCTGCTTCGTATGATTTCTTGAGGACCGAACAAATTTCTTCGTGTCTTTTGAAATAGAGAATTAATGATGGCTTGACTTGCTTGCATTCGGAGATTTGAAGACATTTTGTGTGGAAGTGATGCACTTTGTCGCACTTTTCAATTAAATCAAGTCTTTTGGAACGGATGTGGTTCTGAAAAATTAGAAAAAAATTTCAAAAAATAGATTAAATTAAAAGTTTTTTTAGAATTCAATTTAATTATAAATTAGGTTTCGAACCTACAAATTGTATAATAATATTTAAATTTTTATTTTTTCCATTTTTTCTGATATTATGTTAAGCATATGATTTACTTGAGCTAGTCATTAATATCTATCCAAAATAAGAACTCACCACATTCCTCTTTGATTTCTTCTTAGTCCTTAAAAAATTCTGAATCGAATTATCATCATCGTCATAAATGACATTTCCTGCTGACTCCTTTCGATTCGTCCCCATCAATTGTTGATAAAAGTCTTGCAACTCTTGTGTAAGCGGAATACATGATCTCATTCGTACTTGATCATTGACAAGTTCATTAATATACGATACAAGCTCCGACATCATATTGTTGATTTTAATTGAACTTATTCGGGTTGAGTCTTTAAGTATTGTATATTTTGGCTCATTCAATTTGGGCTTCACAAAACGCCTTAACATGTCATTCGAGTTGACAAGCTTATTGACAGCCTGGATGAAAGATTTTAATTAAAATATCAATTATTGTAAAAAAAAATTATTTTATTGTTAAACCACAAATTTTACCTTAACAATCGCATTGGGTAACTCTCCGGAAATTAAATCCGAAATTTTCTGCCTTCCTTTGATTGAGTATAAATGCTCATGTTGTGAACGAGATGGCAAGTCTCCGATTCTGACATACACAAAAAAAAGAAGTGGATAGATATGTAGATTAATATCTGCATGCATAGCATTTACAAATTAATATCTGTCATGTAATGTTGACTGATGCATTCATAAATTTGTTTTCAGATTAATTCTTTTTTTTTCATATCCTCCTACACAACTTACTCTCGTTTTTTAATGATTTTTGCATTATTTGATGATGACGATGACATTTTTCCTATTGTCTCGTCATTATTATTGACTGCTGCCTCGTTGTAGTCAGATTTGTCATTTGAAAATTTTTCATTAACATTGTTCATTTCCTGCTTTGTGGTTTCTGCTGATGTGTTTACATGTTGTTGATTGTCATTTTTTAGCAAACTATTATCTGTGATTGCCGGAGATTTAACCATGAAACGAGAGGATATTTAAAAATTTAAAAATAATGCATAATTTTGTGGCTGAGTTACAAATCGAATTAAAATCATTTTGAATTTTTTTGTTGATGTTCATAAATTGATTGAGAAATGGATTGAATTTTGTGTACGGAACTCAATTTTATGCAAATTTTCGGAATTTAAATAATAAGTTATAGGGTGTCTACTAGAAGTTGTTGAAATTTCATAAGCTATAGCTCTCTCTCTCTCTCTCTCTCTCTCTCTCTCTCTCTCTCTCTCACTCTAGTTGTAGATTTTAGAAGCAACATGTCAAGTCTTCCTACTCCGAACAGGGGTTCTCAAGTCAATCTAAGGACTTCTGCCAATTTATGATGATAACAAAGCCCAAAATCCATGTAATGATTGAGATTTTAGATTATGGGAATCGAACAGCATGTTTTAAAAATAGCCTTATCGATACACAAGCTATAGCCTAATCACTCGGCCATAGAGTCCTTACTATCGCGTTGGCAGATACACCAATTAATATTTCTCGATATCAAACATTTAACTATGCTCAAACACTACGAAAAATCAACAACAAATCCAAGCCAAAGAACTAATCACAAGTAGTACATCACTCTCATCAAATTCAAGCTTCATTCAACAAAACTACCCGCAAAATAATATCTAATCCTTTTTTGATACACGCTCTTTACTCTTAGTCCTCAAAAATATACTCACTATAATTCATTTCATCATTGTCATAATCAATAGAGTCGCCCAATCCATCAAAATCTTTTTCGCTTCTGTAATTTATTTGATTAATTACGTCACGTCGCTTAACACGATGATGTGGCTCATTAAATCTCATCTGATGTTGAAAGTTTGACATGTCTTTGAGTTCATCGTATAAATTATTTTGTTTTGTATCCAATTGATCGTCATAATGTATCTGCTTTTGACCCGATGAACGTTTCACATTATTTTCTAATGATGTATCGAGGTTAGAGTGAAAATTTGAATTTGATGAGTATTCATTGATCATTATTTGCCGGTGTTGCTCTCGCTCTTGCTGTAAGTTTTGCTCTTGTTTTGAAACATCATCCAATTGATTATCATTTAGTAAATTCTCATCCAGATATGTTGATGATGTGTCAGATGAGGACGAGTCTGGTAGCATCGACGGCAACGACGATGATGATGATGATAAGGCGGTCAGGTGTTTTTGATGTCTCATCTCTATCTCATGAATTTCATTCTCTTTTGCTGCAATTGATGCTCTCACATTGAGTAGTCCGTTAATGGCACTATTGTCATTAGAATTTTTGGCATGGATATCGCTACGATGGTCACTAACATCGAATGCCAGATGTTGCACTTGCTGTTGTATCTCACCTTCCATATTTTTATCATTAATTCTTCCATTGTCATTGTTATGGGGTTTTGGAGCTTGCAATTTTTCACCGACGTCATCATCAACACGATTATTCCTTATTGTAGATTGAATTCTCTGCTTCTGTTTCTGTTTCACATTGTCGACAAGCTCTACATTACCAAATAGTCCTGAGATTTTTTTCACACTATGCTGACCACCATCGTTGAATGGCATTCCAATGCTACATGATTTATTGTTTACACGACATTCAAAGTTTCTATACCAATCATCTCCGTTTTCTGCAGCAATATCACGTTTTACTCTCGCGGGAATTTCATCGTTTAGATAGAAATGAAATTCATCTTGTAGCCATTCGAACACTTCTGTTTGTGCATTTTTCAATTGTTGGAAAAATTCTGACGAGTCATTAGCCTTTTGATGTTCATAGGGAATGGATGTAATGGAAAAATAAAAAGAGATAAGTTATTTTCTTAAATTAATAATAATCATAAATTGAGGAGTTTAATGGGATGTCTTCTTCATTATGTTTGGAAGCATCATAGTCATTTGCCATTTAATAATGCACGAAAATGCAATGCAATAATTTTCCTCAAACAATTTTGTGAATGAAGGTGTGTTCTACGGTTCTTATGACTTTGTGGCTGTCTGATTATCTGTACATCGATAAATGACTCACAACCTACTTGAGAAGGTCCCTAATTGATTCTAGGGTGGAATCTAGGTATATCCTAAGCTTTCCTCAATGCCATACCCCTAGAATTACACTTTAGGATGTAATAAGCAAATTGTCAAGGTTTAGAGCTAGACGACTTTTTAAATCCATCCACTCTCGTTTTAGCTGTTAAGACAGCCTTACTATCAACAACCTCAAATTGAACAATCTACAAAAAATGCTTTTTGATCACCAAACCACATAATTTGCATTGCGAACCAATTGCTTTTCCATTCTACCTTCTCCATCCACTTCTACTTCCTTATGATGATATGCCTTGCAAATGTGCAACATTTTTTTAGTCTAAGTGACTGTAGCTATTACCGTATTTTACCACAAATTACTTTCCATTCGCCAATTGTGTCACAATATTTAAATTTCTTTTTTTTCGAGTTAAGGAAGTCCTTTGGACCAATTAAGACACTTAATTGAATGCAATTATTATTTTTTTATTTTATAAAGTTTGTGAATTAAATGTTTTTCCGTCTCTTTCCAAACAAACCAGATGAATTGAAATCCAACTTGAGTTCATCTACAGTTAAGGAAAATAGAGCCAGAGATTATTATGCAATAAAGAAATGGATAAAAGGCATCTCATAAAAAAAATTTCCATAATACGAAGAAAAAGAAGAAGACAAAGTCGAGAGAAAAATCCATTTCTTGGTGCTTATGATTATTAAGTATCATTGACATATTGTTTATGCGAATTATAATAACTGCTCCTTTTTATTTAAGACTGTACACCTGATGCATCGTAATCGTTTAAAAATGAGAATTTTGTTCGCGTGTACCACAGCAAGAAATTCAAGGAAAATGTCTTTTAGCGACATTATAAATGTTCTTCCTTTCTCTACCAATTTGAAACCTTAAGAAAAACATATTTAATGGAAAATTTTCATGCAAAAGAACTAATGAATTGGATATAAAGGAAGAGGAATTATTTATTGCGTTTAATATAAAAAAATATGTTGTTGGATTTCAAATTTATTTTAATGGGAACTTTAAAGTCCATAAAGTACTCAGTTTAATTGAGATGTTTAATTAAAGATGTGGAGTTGTTGAAGAGTATAAAGGTGGTATTTAGGTTTAATAGTTCTAACAAGAGTCTTTTTGAAAGATTGAATTTTCAAGTTATTATGGTAGCTGTAGGGGAGCTCAATGGAAAGGGATGGGTACCAATAAATAATACAAAACATTCCTAACACGGCGATTGGGGTATAATTTTGATTTAACCTCGAGTCATGAACCTTTGCTCTATCAATGAGCTGTTGTCAATCAAAGAGGTATCATCTGTGGGCACCTATAAGAGGGCATTAAAAACGGAACCCAGATTGAGTTCGATTTTGAATAAAAACGTTAAAATTCAGCCACAACGTAATAATTTTTGAGTTTTATGTAAAGAAGCTCAAAGTATTGATTCTTAAAGAAGTTCCAACCAGTAACGTTTCAAGCGTAGCTAGTAAAAACAATAACACTGTCTGAACCCACATTCTTCTTGTCTACGTACTTTGTGTGAGCCTTAGAACCAATTAAACCTCCAAACAATTTACAAATTTGTAATTTTGTTTCAATAAGTGGTAATTTGAATCGCAGTTATTGCAGACGAAGTTGGGAAAAGGAAATGGAACTGGATTGGCCATACATTAAGGAAAGACCATACAGACATCGCGAGACAAGCGATTTTCTGGAATGTCCAAGGAAATAGGACTAGGGGCCGACGAAGAATTACTTGGCCTACAACTGTTGAACGGGAGGCGGAACAACAGAACAAGAAGCTGCAGGAAATAGCAGCTTTGGCCCAGAATCGAGTGTGATTCAAATGCTTTGTGGACGCCCTACGCTTCATAGTGGAGCAATAGGAACCCATCATCATCAGTGCCTCCAGCTGAAAGGCTGGGCCCTTCACACATTATTATTATTCTATAAGTGGTTATCGATGAAATGGTATCAGTGGCTTTACGTGCCAAAAATTGTAGGTTGAATCCCAGGCCAAGTCAAGTTTTAGAAGCTCTTTTTCCATTTCACTGTTCTAGTTACAAACTCAATTCGTGTGTTGAGTATAGTTTTCAGGTCTTCGGTACAAAACGTGCCTCTTTTGCTATGTATACTTGTGCTGGATGATTTCATTACAGCATCTTGCGCACACAAATTGTGACTAGATAAATTGCAGGTTACATCAGGTCTTTAGACATACTCGTGTCTTTGCAATGTGCTGAGCTTGCAAGTAGTTCGGATTCTACTAAAAACTGTAGGTCTAAAGGGTGTGGCACAATAGATTTACAGCTCAAAAGGCTGGGAAAACAACACGATAAGAAAAAAACTTTTTCAAAATCATGTTGTTTTCACTTCTTAGAATTCTCATTCCTGAATGAATCAAAAAAAAAATAATTTACTAAGTCAACTAGAACGAAGTCATTTACGAATTTATAGAACAACTGGTTACAATGCACATCATCCATAGCACTCTAAAATAATGACTATTCATATAAAAACTTACATATCATATTTCTCGAATACAACTTCCTAAAATTGCAGCTTTATTGTTATCAGTTGCACACATAATTTATTCAGTTCCAACATTCTCCATAATTGGATTACTTAATATTAATTAAATTTCAAATTCCATTTTCATCCACAATCTTTCCACAAAATTGTATTTCCAACTATTTTTTTTCACGTATATTTATTATTTTTATGTGCTGGAACAACCACAAATTAGGTGACATACATAATATCTAATCACATTAGATGACCATAATAATATTTTTTGTCAACCGGAGCAATAGATGATCATGAGAATTATTTATTAATGATGTCTCACCGGTGTCGTAGAATGAGTAACTATATATAGACAAAATAACATTCACATAAACATGTGTGCATAAAATGAAGAAATGTCATTTTTATTGCTTCAGATAAACGTGGCAAAATACGAACGAGAGCAGCAACAAAAAAAAAAGACATTGAATTGTGAATAGTTTTCCAAATGAGAGAGCAGCACAAACAGGCAGCATGGATTTTTGTCGTATTTCCATAAAGGAGCACAAGTGAAATAAAATATAAAAATATTGTAAAAAAAGGAAGAAGTAAGCGACGGCAATGCACATTTTCTAAGTATCATAAAAATGTCGCATTGAAATGTATCCCGTCCTTCTCTCACAGTTATGCCATGGCACAGGCCAGTTCGTAATTAAGTTTAAAAAACGTGAATGAAATCTCAAATCAAATTAATTAATTTCAAGTTGTTGAACACATGTAAATGTAGAGAGCTGAGAGGATATACATTATAATAATTTTTATTTTTCAAGAAAAAAGAAAAATATTGCAAATTTAAAGCTTTTTAGTCTGACGTTGTGCATTCAGTTTAATTAACAACTTTATGCCGTTTCAACATACACTCATATATGATCCCTCCCCTTATAATCTTTATGCACTTTTTTTTCATTCTCTTTATTACATGGAATTTTTAATTATCGTAATTTCTTCATTACAATTTTTTTTCTCCCTCACTTCTCTTCCTGCTCGCTGCAATAAAATTAATTTTTTCTGCTAAATTAAAATGAAGTTTTTATCAAAAATAAAGTAGGGCATAATTTACCTTCGCTTATAATGAGATTAAAGGTAGATGTGGATGGTTGTTTGCTGTTTAAAGTTAGATGGCATCGATAGCATTTATAATTAAAAATTGCTAAGGTTGTGTTTAGGAATGCAACTCGCTTAGGATTTTAGGAGTCTAAAATGATTTGCATTAATGCAATGTTGTCTCAAGCAGAGTTGCTATACAGGTCGCCTGTCAAAGGCACAGGTGACAGATCTGTCACAGATATTATCTGTTAACAGGTAGTGACTGTATAGTCAATATTTTTTGTTGCCTGTCACAGGCACAGATTTGTTATATCTGTAAGCAGATTCGACTTTACAGTTACTGCCTGTTGACAGATCTGTTATCTGTGGCTCAAAAACAGATCAAAGTTGCAATCTGTCACAGGAAATCACCTGTCACAGGCACAGATCTTTCAAATCTGCCCACAGATATAACAGATCTGTGCCTGTTTCAGGTGATTGCCTGTGACAGATCGCAACTTTGGTCTGTTTTTGAGCCACGGCACACCTTGATGATGAATCATGAATCAAAACAGCACACATCATGTGGTTAGTGATAATTTTAAAAAATTCTTTGGCCACGGCACACATTTTCGACCACACTTCATTAAGGAATGCCCAAAAAGTCAATTCCGAATTCAAAAATACTGAACAATCTCTCTGACATCCATACTGCACTAAACCTCTAACCTAAATTGCTAAGTAGCTGGCACTCCGTATTATATAATTTCTTGTGGTCGGCAAAGAGCTTATTTGAATTTTTAAACATTTCCTTTATGGGTCAGTAAACATTTTGATATTCAAAAAATTAGCATTAAGTAGCTTAATTCACATGACTTTGAGATTTCTCAAATAATTTTTTCCTTCGTCATGTTTGTTTACATTTTGACGAAAAATATTTGAAAAAGAAAACGCGAAATTTTATCAAAACCAGATGAAATATTGAATCCATAAATAGTTTAAAACAAAGGATGTGTATCTATTTTATGTTTAAAATAGTAATCTGTAAGAAAACACAAAGATTTTGGCTGAAAATTAACAAAATTTTCTGATTGGCTAAAATTCATAATGGATTAAGTTCTAAAAATAAGGACTACTAAAAAAGTACTAAATCTAATTGTTCTAAAAATAAGATCCGTTTGCCTACCACAGATAATTCCATACATGCTCATACACCTCTAAATCCAAAAATCTGTGGTATTTAAGGATAAACATAAGTATTTTGGGAATATTTATATCCAACAGATTATTACTAGTTCCTCTACTAAACCCAACTACATTCCTCTAGCTGTAAATAATCCTCTATTTAAAGAGTATATCCTTTCTTTTCATGACATTGACTATAAATATTACTTTATAACAAAACATGGAAAATAATAATCAGCAAACGTAAATTTCCGAGGAAAATAAGAGTAAAGCAGCACAATAAATGTTGATAACAAAAGAAAGTGGACAGTTTTCATTCAACATTTAATCATTCATAGCGTTGTGCCTTTTGTCTATGAACTTAAAAAGCATTTTTTCATTTTACTGTCATCTTCCTCAAACAAGCAGCAACACAAAAAAAAATATCATATTTAGCAGATAGAGATGGAAAGACAGGAACAACAAAAATATGAAACAAAAACAAAATGAGAAGAAAAAAATTTCTCTTGATGTTCCGCATAATTTTCTCCTTGCTGTTGTGTGTATTTTTTTTAATGAAAAGTTGCATAAACTACCTAAAGGGAATGGACAATGATCAAAAACAACAAGAAATGAATACTTTTTAGCACATTTAAATGAAACAATATGATTTAGGCAATGCATTTTGGTTTGGTTTGAATGGTGATGCTTAATATGATCGTAGCTATTGAGGGGGTCCTTAGATGAATGCCCACTTGTGGTTAGACAGAGAAGACCGAGCTGGACTCGAACCCATCCTCTACGATTTCCGGTCGCATGCTCCTACCACTGATGCACCTGATCTAAGTCAAGGACACAACTATCACATCTCAACAACTCTAAAAGATCATTACCTATGCTGCTAAGCTGAGATCTTATTTTAAAGATAGACAATTTAAAGAACTTATAAAGGATGATTCAAATTATGAACCAAATAACATCACAAAAAAAGAAGTGCTCCCAAATATGCAAATATTATTCCAATGTCTTGGTCATAAGTATGTTAATCATATGCCAATCTCATGACCTCATACGTTAATATTCTTCCATACAGCCATGCCTTAACCCTTAAAAACCAATATTCAATTTTTTCCTTTGTAAAAATTCCAATTTTTTTCTGGAAATGCGCCAATTTCATTCAACAATATCCAACAACTTCAAACAATCCCTCCTGTTTTGTTTTTTCATTATGAGAGATGAAGTCTTCCTTTCTTTCACCCAAAATGAATGAAAGGTGATTTTTCATAAAAAAAAAAATCATGACTGGCTTAAAAAAAATGCCCAAGAGTCAAATATTCAATATGTATGAATATGTATGGAATGTAAATATATTTGTATGCGTTTCAGTATATAATAATAACTGACTAAATCTTCCCGAGAAAAACAATCAATCAAAAAGCACACAAAAAAAGTGCTCTAAAAACTAGCGGAGCCGATTCGTGCAAATATTTGAGAATCATTTATCAAGCATTTTTTTTAACATCCTCCAATGTGACGCAATAAATATTGAAGACAATAAAGAACGATGATGGCAGGGCTGTTTATGCTCAATGTTCGTTCTTCTTCCTCTGATGGATTTCCGAAAGGTTCGAAGACTCAAATTTCAGGTCTGCAAGAGCAAACGGAAAAAATATGTCAAGTAGATGGAACTGTTCTGCCTCCCATCATCTCATCCTCCTAGTCGCGAACTGACTCATTTATTGTGTAATTTATCTCGATATCACTTTCCAATTGACAATGTCAAATGGAAATGTAGTTGAGCAATTATCAAAGGTTGAACCCTAAATTTTTATCTCATTCTCATCCGCGACTGAATGTAATGCTTGTCTAAAAAAAAAGTTAAAACAATTAAGAGGGAAATGGATAGTGAGGGATGAGAATTTAAACTACATAAAGCCACTGTGGCATGAATCGAAGGGAATGAGAATGAAGAGTGAGTGTTTATATATACACGAGGATTGTGTACAATGATTGATGATTGTCTGTAGATTTATTCACTTGAACTGTATAATTGATAACATCATTGCTTTGTCTCTTTTAGAGCTCAGGTTATATTCGGTACATAAAAGCATTCTTATGTGATTTTTTTTTCTGTCTTCTGCTCCTCGTGCCTTGTTGCGAGGAAGTAGATGGAAATAAAAAAGTACATGATTTGAAAAAAAAAATTATCTCGTAAACCTCATAATATGGAAACATCTGCTCAATAATAAGACGATGGGATTTGCTCTAAGGCAATTTGTATATCTGAATGCGGTCGTGTCGCGTGAAATCGACTACCATTTATTTGATAACGAGATCTAAGTTTTTACATTCGTTTTGTGCATTTCTGTGTACCGTACGACAACACACAAGTAATAATTGAAAATGATAAAAAAATAATAATTTCCTTAATAAAACTTTTACTTACGTGATAGGCGGATAATGATGAGAAGTAGAATAGCAAAATAATTGGCAATTTGAAGTAAGACATCCTTCCTTTATCTATTTTTATTCGAAATATATTTTTGTCACTATTTTGTATTTTTATTCACAATGGTTGCTGTAATTAAATTAAAGAAATTGAAAAACAAGTTTTGTAAGAAGTTGAAGGTTTTTGAAGGTCTGCAGAGTACAATTTAAGGAATTTTGTGAAGAAGAAGTGATGGTCAAAACTACGAACGTTAGACATTGATTGACAGATAAGAGTAAGCATGGTAAACACTTTAGTCAAACACTATAGTGCACTATTTAAAAGTAGCCAAATACAGCAGCGTGCTGACAAAGAACTTCGAATTTTGAGGATATGGGTTGTTGATTCTCGTTAAGCACAATAGCCGAAAATCTATAAAGAAAATTTTATTTCTAATCCAAAAACCAGCTCCTCAAAAACTGGACTATCGCTGTTTGCTCGTCTCTTTACAGCAGAGCTCGAAGTCGATAGGGTTCGAGTCAACTCAAGTTGACTCGACCCGACTCAAAACCGAGCCAACTCAACTTTTCTCGAGAAAAGTTGACTCGAGACAACTGGAGTCTACTTCGAGCTCTGCTTTATAGCCAAATTTGTTACTGATACCAGTACTGTATTAGCTTTAGCTTTTAAGTTTGGTAGTTATATTTTGCATCCTGTGTCTAAGCGAATATAATACATAGAACTAAGCAGTTGGCTCTTTATTGCCATTTTTAATGAACAGTCGCTTAAAATTCACTTTTCTAAGTATAATATTAGCTTGTCCGTCACGCGAATAATTTCAAAATTTGTGCAAATGAGGCAGGCTGGGAATTCATCAACTACAACTTAACACAAAACTTTATACCCTCTCAAAATAAACTTTATTAATTCAATCCAAATTCAATATTCACATCTTCAAAATAGAAATGCGCTTCAGCCTTCACATTTCCAGCAATTTCACAAAACTTATTTTTTGATTCACTCTACAAATCAGATCCAGTCGCTCTAATTTGTAAATCTGTAATTGTAATATCGTGTGGTGTTTTCAGTAGATAAATGACTGTATCACCAATGTGTTCAGGCTTAATAGCAGGATTAATGAATGATGAATTGTCAATTTCTTTCGATGGCTTTCGATTACATACACCTGGTGATAAATTCGTGATACGAATCTTGCGATTCTTCATCCGATTCAATTCAAATCGCATTACATCAGATGTTGTTTTAACGGCATACTTTGTGCTCGCATAAATTCCGAGTTGGATGTCTGTTGTTGGATGAACATAATGTCCATATACACAATTTATGTTGATAACATAACCATAGGCATCTCGAGCTTCCATTGATTTAAATACTAAGCGTGTGCATCGAATGACAGCAGTGTAATTGACATCAATGTGATTCACAATTTCCGACATTGATTTTTGTTGATCAAGCGCTCCAATGTTCTTGTGAAGGCCCGCACAATTGACGAGAATATCAACAGGACCGATATTCTTTTCGACCCATTGAAAAGCAGCTTCGGTTACATCATCCTTTGTCACATCACAGTTGAATGTGTAAATTTTAGCATTTTTCATTTCAACTTTTAATTTCTCAATCGCATTAAATTGAATATCGAAGCCGACAACTCTTACTCCACATTCTGCGAGATTTTTCAATATTGCAAAGCCTATACCGGAATTGCCACCCGTAACAACAGCAACTGAATTTTTCCACTTATCCATTACAACACTTTTATGATTATTATTTTGTTAAATTGTGGAGAATTTTCGATGATGTGTGAACTCTCCGCGAGTCAAAATAAAATTGATTAAGTAAGTTACGAGATAATAAGATTATTCGATAAATTTTAAACCTCATGATAAAATTGCAATTTGATAAAAAAATGTATAGGAGTCGTCTATTAATGATGTTTAATTTTGGTGAAAAGAGAGGCTTCATTAGAATATGTTATTTTTAGGGGTGTGCCGTGATTTTAAGACTATGGTTTTTTTTCCTTCAAATACCTTTCAGGTCGTTCATAAATGACGTGTTTGTCTTTTAAAATAAGTATTATTTTCAGGCGACATTTATGAATGATCTCCATATAAATTAAGAAAATTTTGATCTCAAAACCATCTCTGAATTTACAGTCTAAGGTATGTTTCTGTTGCTAAACAAGGCACTGTTTGTGGATTTCATTCCAAAAGGGTTTTTAATTACGATTTAATAGTTGACGTCATATATAAACGACTCCATGATAATTTCTTTATCTCATACGTTTTTAAAGCTCTAAGTATTTAAGTGATTTTTGCGTAAGATTGGTCAACATCAGGAATGGTTTGTTTATGTAGAATGAGACCTATAAATGCCAACTTCAGAGTACGAATCCTATTTATTTATCAAAATACTGTGCTCTAAGAATTAAGCCTAGTGCTTGCTTTCTTTGTTCATTTTGATTTTGGAAATGGTTGGTTGTAAACCTCCCCCTAGCCTGAATGTGGAACTGCAACCCTACAGGCGAGGTTGTTTGGATAGGCTTTTAATCTATCCCTTAACCCCCTCCACAAAAAAGCCTACTGCTTGCATGCTTCTACATATTGCTCAACTACTACTAAAAACGACTTTTTAGACCCCCCTTCCCCCCTTCACCCCCTTCCCCCCTCCCCCCCCCCCTCCCCCCCCCCCTCGTTACAAAACTTGTGTGAAAAAAATTTCTTTTGTTTGAACAGTAACAAAATCTTAGACCCCCTCCCCCCTAAAAGCGTTACGTAATAAGTGACGGCCTCAAAATAGACTAAGTTCTTTTATGCCGCTTAAAAAAATCATTTTAATTTTGAGCCAGTTTAGAACTTAGTGTATCCTCATTTTCAAGCTAATTAGGTAAGAGTGAACATCATTTGACGACTGTGCCTTATCCTTATATCCAAATCATTAAATAAATAGATCAAATTGAAAATTATAGTCATTGAAAATCATGAGTTGAAGTAGGATTCATCAAAATAATAATATGTATATCCCTCCTATAATTTTCATCCTCAACAAGTAAATAATCATATCATAATAAATTATTCAATTTCCTTGATTAAAGTTGTGTGCCAAAAGCATCTCCTTAATTAAATTACTCGAAAAACAGATCAAGTAAATCTAGCAAGATTAACACCCAAGTTGAAATTAATAAAGTCAATTTGTTTGCCATCAAAATCCAATTCATTTATTTCACACAAATAATCAAGATATTCTGATTGATAAACAGGTCAGCATAAAAAGGAACAAAACAACAAATTATATCAAACAAATCAAGGGAAATCACACATAACATAATGTGAGGATAAAAAGAAGTTTACATGTGAAGGAAGTGAAAAAAAGAGGGTAAAAATTGGCAAACGTCTCATTTTCACATAATTTTGTGGATTGAGTCCGCTTTAGTCAGATTTATGACATGTTCTTTCATCAAATGATTGCGTAAATATCTATTATATAGGCGGGTTAGATAGGAAAGAGAGCAAAGAGATGAATACGCAATCTAAAGGATATTTATTTTACTAAAGCTATCATCTATCAGATTCGGATGCCAAAATAGCAGGCAAGGAATTTCTAGATTTAGAAAAATTATTCCACAACTTTTCTTTTGCCTTCGATGTTTCCTTTTTTTTTGTGTGCTACTCTTGCCAATAAATTTTCCATCCACATACTCAATTTAAAAAATTGAAATTTCTGCACGATGCTTTAATGTTCCTCGTCGCTCTTTCTCTTCTTCTTCTTTGAACGTTTCAAGCTTACCTTAATTTTTCACACACAAAAATTCCTTCGATTTTTTCGTCCTCAAACCTTAATCGTCTCTGTGGCTATTTTCATCTCTCACATCAATGCTGATATATACACATGAAATTATCGATAATAAATTCTCATAATGTCAAATACATTTACCACCTTTTACGAATTGCGTTATAGATCTACTTCTTTTATAGAGATATATTCTATAAAAAGGGCATGATGAAATTGGTCTTCTTTGTATTTTTTTCTACGGTATATTGAGTATCTTTTTGGTACATTATGTTGTATTTAGAATAATTGGTGTTTAGAAAATAGTAAGGAGATACGCTTCATAATGGAGCTACACTTAGAATAGGAATTAATTATCTAATAGAAGCCTGCGATATAGGCAATTTCATGGCAGCCTTTTGAGCTGGAGGCAATGCGATTCGAATTAGAACAGAATCTATTGTACCACACCATTTAGACCTAGAGTTTATAGTGGAATCCAAACCACTTGCAATCTCTGTACCTTGGAAAGACACGAGTACATCTAAATACCTGATGTACCTTGCAATGAACCTAGTCACAATTTGTGTGCGCATGATGCTTCAATGAAATCATTCAGATGCTAGTATATCCTAGTAAACCTAGCAAAGAAGACACGTTATGTGCCGAAGGATTCCGGAGCATCTGGCAGACTCGAGAATTCTGGAACACAGTTGTGCAGAATAATTCTGCAGAATTCTCCAGAATTCTGGAGAATTATTTATCAGAATTCTGAAGAATTTTTTGAAAAATGTCACGCGACACATTCGCAACATAATTTCAGAAAACAGAATTTTTTTAACACAATTCTGGAGAATTCTGGACAAATAATTCTGGAGAATTCTGGACAAATAATTCTGGAGAATTCTGTAATAGTTTTTATATAAATTGTCAAAAACACCCTATACTATTTAGCATTAGCTATTTAGCTACAACTGTAGATAACAAATGAACTTACTTCGTTACGTAAAAATCAAATTAAAGCTGTAATTTACAGATGGTGTTTATAGCTTAGCTGCTGAGCAGTACTTACAGTTGATGTAATTTCACGTGAATTCCGCTGGTTTTGACTATGACATTTCCTTTTACAAAAAAATTGAATAGAAAACAAGGTACAGTAGCGTGCAAAAGTTTGAAAACGATTGGTAATTAATAACTTTAAATGCTTTCTAGCACGAATTCAATGAATCGTTATGTATAAATATAAAATTAGCATTATATTTTTTATTTGAATGAAGCATTCAGTTTTTGGTTCTATTCCGAATGACACAAGTCGGTAAATTAATCAGAAATCCAGCATCAACCTGGTGTGACTTTGGCATGGTGCTAGATTTAAATCGAAGCCATTCGATTTTATTTATATTTTAAATGTTAACATCCAGAGTGAAAAATTTGATTTTTATAAAACTGTAAACTCAACTGTAAGTACTGCTCAGCAGCTAAGCTATAAACACCATCTGTAAATTACAGCTTTAATTTGATTTTTACGTAACGAAGGAAGTTCATCCGTAATCTACAGTTGTAGCTAAATAGCTAATGCTAAATAGTATAGGGTGTTTTTGACAATTTATATAAAAACTATTACAGAATTCTCCAGAATTATTTGTCCAGAATTCTACAGAATTCTGTTAAAAAATTCTGTTTTCTGAAATCATGTTGCGAATGTATCGCGTGACATTTTTCAAAAAATTCTCCAGAATTCTGATAAATAATCCTCCATAATTCTGGAGAATTCTGCAGAATTATTCTGCACAACTGTGTTCCAGAATTCTGCAGAATTCTCGAGTCTGCCAGATGCACTTCACCCGTGCCGAAGACCTCAAAACTACACCCAACACAAGAAACAAGCTTCGGAACTAGGACAGTTAAATGGAAGAAGAGCATCTAAAACTTGACTTGACCTGGGATTGAACCCACAACCTTTGGCACGTAAGGCCAATGTTCTTTCACTTAGGCCACTGGCTTGTGATTATGAAAACTATTCATGACAATTGTTTAATGATATTGCTGTTAAGGAACGGTTCTTACATCACTACTTTCCTTTTTCTTACATTACTAAAAATAGAAGAAGATTTTTTGGAGAGCTACTCATTTGAGCCAAATCTTACAGCCGAAGTGGATCCTGATAGACCTCTATTACCAATTTTGTACTTTAATTAGACCATACATTAGCTACTCCGTCTTTTCTTGGAATTAAGTGTTAACACGCTACGAACTACTTTGAACTCCCTATCAAAAATCAAACTCAAACAACAGATCCTATAAAACCCCAATCATATATTAAGTGAGCTAAGTCGTTTAGAGCTATCTCACACAGAGTTCAAGTTTTCTTCTTCTTCTCTTGTTCAACATCAAATTTATTTTATTGCGAATATCAGCAGTCACAGTTTAGTGCTATGTATGCCGTGAGAGAGAGTGAGTAAGGTGAATATGGGCAACAGTAAATTTATACTCAATAATATAATTGAAATTGAAAAAAAAAATATTCGGGTGAATATAAAAAATTTACATTCTTGCTCATCGGTAACATTTCGATGCTCCTTTGGGGAATTTCAAACAAGATCTGCAGATCGAACCTTTTTTCCGTAGTTTTTTCTCTCTTTATTTTTGGCTTTTCCTTTTTTTTTTCTGTGCTTGTGAGTGGGGAGGAAATATAAAACAGAAACATGTAAGTACACATGTGTGAGCATAAATACAAATATTTTATTGAGTAACGCATCATGCAACTCAAGTAGATGAGTGAATAAAAATGTGAAAAGAAGATTTCGTGTGTAAATGTATTCAGTAAATAACTATAATCACTATATTATCAAATATTTGTGGGAGAGCTCAGGTAGGTTCATGAAACATTCACTAAATTATTTAAATCTTATTTTTTTCTTGGTTCGTTGTGCGATAACATAGAGTAATGAGTATGTTCTTACAACATTATTATGGATGTATG